AAAAAAAAAAAAAAAAGAATCATTCTCCTGTGTTTTTCAAACCAGAAAGGAACAAACATATTTAGTTATGGTGACTTTTTTATAGAGGACTGACGGATAACTGATAGGAATCTGTATGAGTGAAAAAGACGCAGGCCAAATTAAATGTCCCCTCAGAGCGTTTTCACTTCTGATTAAGAGACACGAACTGAGCTGCTGTTTGTTTATCCATAAGGCAGTGATAAACTTGTAATTGGAGAAATTATGCTGACCTAAAGACATACTGCCAGGAAAGAACTGCTCCCTTGAGAGCTAGAAGTAGAATGGTCATTCACTGCCAGCTTCTGGAAAGAGAAATGATCTTAATGGCAGCCTTTTTGGGGGACTTATGAAATGGCCTTAAGCAACAGAGTCAGTATTCCAAGAGCGTGCTCTCAGCAGATTGAACAGGCGGACAGTATTAACTGTTCAGAAGCATAGTTTCTAATTGCAGAGTGAAGAGGAGACAGAGCCCCGTGTTGTACTCACAGTGGAGGTGGTTAGGTACAAACAAAGGCACAGTAGTGTATTCGGGAAGGAATAGAAAGTACCATAGGTCCAGAATCAAAGGACATTATGGAAGTGCCACTTCTTTAGACACTTAAAAGTCCTGGGAAGTAGAAGCCAAATAAAAAGGAGATGACTTTGTGCCTTTTCCATTTTATTTATAAGAATCTTTAAATTTAGAAAAACAGGGACTCTGCAATATTCAACTAACTGTATTAATTGTAATGCTTTACTTGAAAATATGTTTTAAGTCTATATAGCCACACTGATACGTTTCTTGAAAGATGTAAATGAGAGTAATATAAGTATTTCATTCATTTTTGCTTTTGTTCCATCTCTGCCCCTTAACGTCTGTAAAAGGATGATTAGAATGAAAAAATTTAAATGAGATATTTATTTAGGTTGCTTTACTTAGAGAAGTTTCTATAAAGGAAGCTGTTTAAAAATACATACTATTCTTTTCTGGTTAAACATATATATAGAAAAGTACATAAAACATATATGTATTGTATAACAAATAATCAAACAGTGAACAGTGTAATTACTACCAAGGTCAAAAAGTAGAAAACATGCCTCCCGAGTCCCTCCCCAC